TGGACATTTTTTATTTGATATAGTGAAAAAAAAATATTAATAGATTAATAAATTTTATGATTTTACCCTTTATTCATATTAATTAGCCTCTTGAAAAAAGAAATTTTGAATTATCAAAATTTATTTAAACTTTTAAAAGCCATATTAATTGTAGGAGTAAAATGAGAAAAATAAATTAATTATATTCTAATTTAATAAGTAATCAAGTAATATGAGACAAATATTTTCATTAAGATTCACATTTAATATGAGACGAAAGGAGTACTATATTCGTGACACAAGTAATATTATCTTTTCTCTTTGTGAGACGTTTATCCAATTTTTAATTTTAATCATTACTCATTAGAGGCTTATCTAAACTTCATTTCTCTTGAGTGATTCTTAATCAAACACAAAGTAAGCTTAAAGTAAATGTCTTTTGCGTCTTTGTTAGAGAGTGTATTACCTTTTAATGTGAGATTTTTTTATACGAATCTAACTTTAGCCAGACTGAGTCTAGAGCTGTCAAAATGGGCTGACCCAACTCAATTTTAGCGGGCTAGAGAGTTAAATGGGTTAGAACGGACTGACCCTTTTAATTAAAAGACCTATAAAATAGCAACCCAACCCAGCCCTAGGTGGGCCACGGATTGGGACGGGTCGTCCCTTCAACCAAAAAATGAACAACTTTGGTGTCTTAGAAAGAGTATCTAAGAGTGTCAAACTTTGATGTCTGATGAACACGACATCAATACATATAAATATTCATTTATGAATTACACACTTCAGTGAATACTTACAAAAATACATAATAGCCAAGATACAACATCGTAAGATTCATCCGAGCAAAAAATACTACATTATCACTTTTTTTATGAACAAGACAACTAAGGGGAAATAAAAAATTAGATATAAAAATAAAAGTAGACTTGATTTTAGTGGGCTACTGGCCCTAAAATGTAAAAGAACTGCAAAGGAGTTAGACTTGATTTTATATTTTTTAAATATTTATTGACAAAATCTTTACAAATAAAATACAACTAAAATATATATAATAAATATTTTTAATATTCATAACCCACGGGCTGGCCTCTAAGGCTTGCGGATTGGGCCAACGAGGCTAGCGGGAAAAGATGTTGGACTAAAAAGCCTTATTCCTAAATGATCCAAAAAAAATTAGGCCCAACCCCACTTAATTCAATAATTGGGTTGGGCCGACTTAATGGGTCAATCCCATTTTGACAGCTCTCTAATGTTGATATACCAAACACTAGGTGAAAAAACAATAAATAAGTAAATAAATGGTCTTTTGAAACTTAATCACTTAACTAATTGAAATGCTAAACTAGGGGGGGTGTCAAATGAACATGTTGGTCTGGATTTAAACAGATTAAAATAAATTAAGTCATAAATAAATTGGATTAAAATTGATCTAAAAGTTACTTATAAATTGAATTGGACTAAAATCGAGTTAAGCCATAATCCATCCAACTTGATCCGATTTATTTTTTTTGAAGAGTTTTTAACGCTAATTAAAAAGAATGCGCTAATTTAAAAAATCGCTTTAATCAAACAAAAGGTAAGCTTCAAGTAAATGTCTTTTGAAACAAAATTGAAATGTTGGACTAGAGAGCATCAAATGGACATGTTGTGCAAGATGACCTAAAATAAATGAAAATTGGGTCCAAGAATTGGGTAGTCAATGCAAGATAGAAATATTGACCAATCCACTTTGCATTATAGAAAGGAAATATTATATAATTAGACATGTTTCACTGTCATATATATATATTATTATCACTAATTAATAGTTTTCTATTATATATTGAAGAAAATACATTTAGATACATGTATTTTTGCTACTAGATAAACAAAAATAGGGAGAGATGCAAGCAAGATGGGTATGGAGGCGAGCGAGATGGGGAGGGAGACGAGCGAAATTCGTACGTATCACAGATACATGTGAATCACATTAGATATACACTCGATTCATACATACACACACACACATATATATATATATATATGTATATATATATATATATATATGTATATATGTATCTGGTGTGATTCACATGTATTTGAGATACCAGATACATGAGAGAATGGCCAGCGACATAGGAGAGAGGCGAGTGAGATTTATTATGTATCCAAGATACATGTGAATTCACTTGGATACAATGTATATCGAACAAATTATACCTAATTTTGACTCCTATATACATATCTGGACGTACCAAAATCTGATAAGATACGTAATATTGCAAATTAGAGTGTACATAAATAATTAACTCCTAAACTAGTGGGATTTATTTAGTTTTCCTAAAAAACATATTATTATGCAATTTTTTTACACAATTAGTGTACCTCTATGAATTAATATCTTTAATTTATTGCTCATTATAAAGAAAATCAGTTCAAGTTGTGTTTCTTCTTTGGCAGGTCGTGACTCCATGCATAAACTAAAACATATAACAACTGTTTGAACTAGTATTAGATGTGCCAAACATAATTAGCTCATAACATCCAACATTATCTCACAATTTCAATAGTTGCCTCTATTTAAGAAAACTGTTCTTAGTTAGTCGAATCGAAACGAGATTATATAACTTGAACAATCCTTTTATTTTTGAGCTAATTTCTTGAGTGTAAATTAGGTTCAAGATTCATTTTATTAGGATCGAAAAAATCAAAACGTCATGCAGAAGCTAACAATTGTAAATTATGACGGCGATAAATCAGGTAAGAAAGAAATCATACTTAAAATTGCATATAATTTAATATAGTTTGATTAATTTAACAAATCTTCAATTTATAGATGTCCAAAAAAATTCTTCCAAAATAAAGAATAACCAAATATGAAAAAAATTTGTATTTTCATTTTTAGAAACATAAAAATAATTATGATAATATTTTAATTTTAACTGATATGACGCGTGAAGCATGTTTAACGTTTGAAAAATAAAAAAGTAAGTTCATAAGTTGATAAGTGTCTGCCAACTTTAATCATTTTCATCCTTAGCCAAATGAATTACCTAAATTTTTGGCTTTTATAGAATTATAGTTAATCAATCAATCATGAAGGATTAATTAAATGCATAGGAAAAAAGAGTTATTAGTAACTTTAAAAAATAATATATCTTGCCCGCAATAACTTAGTTAGAGCTAACTAAAGATTTTGTCTGCCAAAAATCACAATGTCTTAATCACCCACCACACCATGATTGCGATGGAGTGATAAGTACTCATACATTCTTAATCAGAGATTTTGCGTTCGAGTCTCTTTGATACGAAGTTATATTTTTTAGGAAGTATTTTATCCCTCAATATAAAAAATTTCAACAAAAATTCAAATTTAATCGGATTTACCAAATATCGGATGAGAAACCAACAAGAACAAAAATTAATGTCTTAACATCCTCTTGTTCACAATTAAATATTTGTGTACTTTGCTCCTGTTGAGTTGACACAATTGCTTATGTCAGTGAAGGGCACTTTCTAGGAAAGAATTATCCAAATATGTGAAGGGCATTTTACTACCATGAAAATCAAATTCCAATAAATTTGGAGCTTGAATTGTGACTTCTTCCAGACTCCTTAACTCTGATAAGGTGAATTTCTTGAGTTTTTCACTCTGAATCTCGATATTCTTCAACTTATAGCATCTTGTTAGATTCAATTCTGAAATGTTTGGGAACTTATAGAATACACATCTCGAAACTGTTGGTCTGTGATGCTGGCACCATTGAGGTCGAGTGTTTGTAAAGTATTGTAACCATCCAAAATAGCAATTTCGCAAGGATGATTAGTACGTTCTCCATATTTAAAGCATTTAAGATTTGGGGCCTGGACCACAGCAATCCAGATGTACTTGCAATTTGTTTATTCCTCGGCAATCGACTAGGGATAGATTCCTGATGGACGGGGATCTATCCATAAGTCTTTGCAATTGAGCATCTGAAATATAGACAGCATGATGCAAATGAAGAGTCTCAAGACAATCAAAACTTATGTTGTCAGCTTTTTAGCATCATAATAACAACATCAGGTAACTTAAGAAGGGAGGGCAAATGTCCAGTACTGTTTAACCGCCAATTCAATCCAAGTATCCAGGTGGGAATTCACTTTTGGATCACAATATGCAAGGATGAGCTCTTGAAGATGTAAGTTTTGTTCGATTATAATTGGTATTATAGTTTTGTGATTGATGGAATATGAGATTAGGTCTAGAAGACCAACAATAGTACCATCTCGCCACCTCTTTCAGGTCGAGGCTAGTGCGGCATAAGATTTGATGAATGATATGCACAGGTAATTCTGATATGATCTGTCTTGTCCATAAACTATTTTCGCCATATTGCTGGTGCCGTCGTATGTCCTGTTTAAGGGTTTTATTAGTGAGAATTGATGACTAAAAGGCTCCATTATATATTAAGTGAATAGCCACTTTTAACATGACCTATTGTCAAATAGTAGCCACTATTAATATTCAGTCACTCTTTTGACCATTTGCCATCTCTTCTTTTGAAACCAAGCCATATTCTTTCTTGTTTGAAAAAAGTTGCTTGATTGAACAAGCCTACATATAATATCCCAACGAAAGAAATGCCATGGGAGTTTATGTATGAGAATCCAAACCTACTCGAGAGGATCTTGATTCTAAAGAACTTTGAAGAATAAATAAAAACTAGAGTTAATAAGATTTTAATTCAATGGATGCAAAATCTTTTAATGGAAACGAAAACGACATGCTAGTGTGGAAGCCGTCCTCTTCAGATGAGTTATTGTTGTTTACAGATCACAATCCATCTGCTTCATTATTAAGGTTATTTGCATGAGTTCATAACAGAGTGTTACTTTCCATTTTTCAAGTTATGTTCAATTTCCTGATTTCTACATACAAGGAAGGCGTGCGTCTATCTGTCTACAAGCTTATACAACTCCGAATACCTCTATCTTTGCAGCCCAGAATATTATATTTTCCAATTCATCTACACATTCATAACCATCGATACTAAAGATAGACTGCGCAAAATCTATTTCATTGCAAGTATAAATGTGTAATCAAAGTTGGAGGTCTTACACAGCCAAAAAATGCTAAATTATGTAATAAATCATACACACTAATTAACTCTATATGCTGAATTCGCCAAGACTCTTTGGTCTAAGCTTGTTATTTCCATTTTAACATGAAATTATTCACTTGGTCAATTACAGATGTAGATTTCAACCAGAGATACCACATGGAGGCGGCCATTCCCTCCTCAGGTGTCCCAGTACAACTGATAACATCTTTTAAGTTACGATGCCACTTGGTATTGAATGGACATTCTTTACCACAATTTTGCTTTTGTGTACACCCTTTTAGTGTAGACATCGCCTGCATTTAAGCAGAAACATAAGATATATTATACAATAATAATGCTTATGAGACGAGCAATCAACATTTAACAACAAATTTTCTTCTCAAATTATACAAGCACAAGGGACGTTTTACCTGTAGTGCTTTGCTATCTGTACATGGAAGTATGGATATGATATAGGGACTTCCGAACATTATTATTCCAATGATCGATTCAACACTCAGCATGGATGCAATGAATATCTCGACTTTGTGACTTGGTGGAATAACAATTTCTCTTAGATTTTCATAAATAAGGATGCTTTTGGTCTGCAAGAATTTAGTCAATCCCATAGTTTAAACCAAATTCAACAAGTAATGCATAAATTAAGCACAAAAATAATGTAAACTACCTGGCGACAAAATATTATTAATATCAGTCGGGCACTTTCTAGGGAAGAAGTATCCATATATGTGACGGGCATTTTACTACCATGAAAATCAAATTCCAATAAATTTGGAGCTTGAATCGTGAGTTTTTCCAGACTCTTCAACTCAAATAAGGTGAATTTCTTGAGTTTTTCACTCTGAATCTCTATATTTTTCAGGTTATAGCATAATCTTAGATTCAATTCTGAAATATTTGGGAACTTATAGGATACATCTCGAAACTGTTGGTCTGTGATGGTGGCACCAGTGAGCTCCAGTGTTTGTAAAGTACTGTAACCATCCAAAATAGCAATTTCGCAAGGATGAAGATTGCCCTGTTCAGTAGGTTCTGTATATCTAAAGCATTGAAGATATGGAGCTTGGACTATCACACTATGGAGTTTGCAATAACTAGCATCGAAATACTTGAGATGTACTAAGCCAAAAATATGACATTTGCTTATACCCTCACAACACTGTAACCTTAGAGTCCTGACAGATGGGCATCTGTTGATAACTCTTTGCAATTGGGCATCTGAAATATGGACATGATTCAAAGAAAGAGACTCGAGCCAAGAAAATCTTTTGTCAAATTCAAAATTGCACCTGCTTAACTGCAATGTTGTCAGCTTTTTAGCATCATAAATAACATCAGGTAAGTTATATGATGTTAAACCCAAACGGTGAATTCCCAGCTCTGTGACGTTGAGTTTAACCGCCAATTCAATCCAAGTATCCACGTGAAAATCCACTTCTGGATCACGATATCTAAGGATGAATTGTTCAAGATGTAAGTTTTGTTCGACATGGAATCGCAGAGATTGATCAACCAACTTGACATAGTTTTCAAGGGTCATATCAAATTGATAGAATATCAAATTAGGTCTTGAAGTCCAGCAATAGTACCATGTCTTGGACAACATACAACTTCTCGCCGCCTCTTCAACGCCGAGGTCAGTGCGGCATAAGATTTGATGAATAATATGCACAGGCAATTCTGATATTCTGTCTTCTCTTTTTGCCATATTGCTTCCTTCGTTTTGATTTCTTGGTGCCGTTGTATATCCTCTTTTAAGGGTTTCACTTTCATACTCCATCAGGGTTAATAGCTTAAAAGATCACTGAACTATTAGAAATTATATAGAAAAGTCATTGAACTTTCTTTTATATCAATAAAATCACTCAACTTGTGATTTTTATTTTTAAAAATCATTCTATCATTAAAATAAAATCCTCAACACACAAGAGACCAATATTTATACCTCTTATAACTTACTCTTTGATCATATGTTACTCAACTTTGGATCTAAAAACGTGACTGTCTTCCCCTCACTCCACAGTTGCCATTCCAGAGATAATTATTTTATATGCGAGCAGGAAAAGATAAATCAAACAACTTTTCTGCTTACAGCTCGAAATGTTCAGTCAATTTTTATAGCGTTGGTGGTTTTTTTTTTTTTTTTGGTGCGTAGACTATTGAAAAAATATTTCTTGTATTGCATATTCAGGCGGCATATGACCACTGCATTGGAGATTATCTGATTATGCAGTCGGTGTCATATTAGACACAGTGAGATAATTTTCAAGGTAAAAATGAAATACATGCATAAATTTTGTGGGGTAAATTAATTTTATAATTTTGTTTATTTATGCCATCCATGATTACATGTTATAGAAAAACAATTTAATTTGTCATGGCAAATTTATTTCAATTATAAATATAGTTGAATGATTTTTTGAAGATAAAAAGTGTTAAGTTGAGTGATTTTATTGATATAAAAGAAAGTTTAATGACTTTTCTAGATAATTTTGCATAGTTCAATGATCTTTTTAAAATATTAACTCTACTCCATCATATATTTGGGGAGAGTTAAGTGAATATCCACTTTTTATTTAATTTTTTTACCCTAAATTTAAAAAAAAGGGAAAATAAGTAAATACCCTATAAAAGGGTATAAAATGAAATTTATTTTGAGTCAATGGGAATTAGTTTGAATTCGGCTATGAAAAATTACTTGGATGAGTTCCTTTTAATAAATAATTACTGATTTTAGCGATAATTTTTATTTATTACCATTTATAGCAATACATAGCAATATTATGTTAAATTTGCAATATGTATTAAAGTGAATTATGTATGCAATATATATGTATTATGATTGTTTTTAAAAATATATTATGCTTGTTTGGTAAGAAATTGACACATTGTATTATAAGTGTATTAAAATGTGTGATAAATGTATTATCCATCAATAAAACTTGTATTATATGTGCATATAAATTGTTCTTTGTAATATGTATTAAAATTGTATTATAAATGTATTAAAAGTGATCAAGTGAAAAAAAAATGTTATTTGCTATGAATAGTAAATATTTTTTTAATATGATATATTTATGTAAGTCACTACTAAAAAGAGGTAAAAAAACGACGGACGAAAAAACGACGGATTGCGTTGCTTCAAAATAGCGACGGCAAATGCAACATTGTCCGTCACTTTTTTCATTTTTTAAAATTTTTTATACTTTTTTTTATAAAAGCGACGGACAGGGCATCTTCGTCCATCGCTTTTTTTTTTTTTTGAAAAAGCGATGAACAGGGCCTCTTTGTCCGTCCCTTTTTTAAAAATAAAAAATATGCCAAAATTATTTATATTCATATTTAATAATAGCGACGGACTGCATTGATATTATTTTAAAAAATAATTTTCAGAAAACAACGGTGTCCATCATTTTTAATGTCAATTGTGTGTGTATTTTTACTGTCATTCTTTTATGGATGTTTTTACTACCTTTCTTGTCATAAGATTGATGATTTATGTGTGTACATGATTTTATATGTGGAATAAAGGACTATTAATTAAATGTATGCATATTCTCTGTTTGTATAAAAAAGAAAATGCAGAAAAGCGATGAATTGTCCGTTGCTTTTTTAAACTTTTTAATGTTTTTTTCTAGAAAAGCGACCCCGTCCGTCGCATTATTTTTTTTAAAAAATTAAAATTTAAAAATTACGATGTTGTCTGTCGCTTAAGAAAAGATAAAAAGGAAAAGACACCGTCCGTCACTTTTGAGCGACGCAGTCTGTCACTTTTTGAAAAGCGTCGAGCATAAAAGCAATGAAAGTGACTGCATAGCTTTTCCGTCGATTTTGACAAAAAAAACGACACAGTCCGTCGCTTTGGACCGTTGTTTTTTGACATTTTTTTAGCAGTGAGTTTCCCAATTGTAATTATATTTACAAATATTAGCCACTGTATTTAACAAAAGTGAAATGTGAAATAGATGTGATTTTTATCTATTCTCATGGTTGAGAATTCATGTTACTTTGCTTCCAATGATTTTCTGATCACTATATGTTACTTTGATAATTACCCGATTGGACTCCCCATCTCTTGCATATTCCTCTCATTGAAATTAATCTCAATCTTTACTAAAATAATGGGTAAGACCCTGAATAAGATCAATGGTTGGCATGCTAAACTTCTATATATTCTCATGCCAAAAACATGCAATTTGCTTAATTATTCCCTGGCAAGAGACTAAATTTAGAGTCTTGATGAACGGGCATCTATCGATAACTCCTTGCAATTATTAGTGGCACTAATATCAAATTCAAACTTGCACTTGATTAGCCACAATGTTTTCAGCTTTTTAGCATCATAAATAACATTAGGTTAATAAATCGGCTATATGTCTAATTCAACAAGATAAAAGAATAGAAAGTCAATTTATCGATGTGAATTTAAATTAATCGTCAAATCAAATTCATATACCTAATGCTTAAAAAGATAAAGAGAAGGGATTTTTACAAGACTACTCAAACGGGTAAAAAAATTATGCATGTGTACTTATTTCACCAGTTAAAAGAGAAATTCACAAGGCAAAAATTTATATTTTTGTATTATAAATACTACAAGTTATGTTTTGTTAGACATAACAAATTATTTCGCTTTAAATCCTAGAGAACTTATGTCCTTAGAGGCATAAATTATATTTAACAATTCATAAGTAGTTCCTACCGAACCTATGCTGATAGATGCATAAATTTAGTTTCAAAATATTTAGCATGTCTTAATTCTTAAGAAGTTCATAATCCACTTCTAAAAAAAAATTGCCGGATAACTTTTTACCACCGATTTGAGGGGTAAAAAGTTAAAAGACCACCTTAAATAATAGCAATTCGTACAAAAACTTGATATAAATATAAAATAAATATTGAAGTTATTTCATATTGTTTATGTCAAAAATTGTTTGAAATGTAACATATTCAAATTAAAAAGAAGGAATTTGCTTGGTATAATCCACGGTTTTCGTAATACCGCAGATATGATCTTGGGAATTCCACATCGGGTCAATGAAACTAATAGTCTTTGGGATTAGCTTACCTTTTTCCAAAAAAACATTTCCCTAATAATATATTCAAGTAGTCATCTCAAAATGCATCAATCAATTCTGATTAAATAATAAAGTAGTATACTATAAAATAGGCATAGATGTCCTACACTTTTTGTTTGTTTGTTTGCTTATTAGTTGGGATTTATGGTTTTGCTTTAGTTTGTTTTTCTCTTCTTTCTTGTATGAGTAAAGGAATGCCAGAATATTCAAAAGGTCACTTGAGTTTTTAAAGATAAATCAATTAAAAAAAAAAGTTGTTGAACAACAGCTTCATGAAAAAAATTGTTAAAAATAGATAGTACTATCTGAACTTTTATTTTGTTGATGACTTTTTATTAATTATTATTTTTTATTTTTTTAATTAATAAGAATTCGATTTTTCACTTTGTAATTTTCTCACTATTTTTCCTTCCCAAATCTCCAATTTTCTTTTTAAAAAAAACAATAAGGAGCGAAAAATAATAATTTATTAGTGCAAATCTATAGGTGTACACTAATTGAGTATACCAAGTCTTCCTTAAACAGTCTGTGTATCTAGATGGAGCCAAGGGGTCATTTCAAACTTTTTTCTTCAGAAAGTTATATAATGTAAGATTAATTTGAATTTTATGGTTATATTCTCTTTCATTTTTACTTGTTATATTTAGACGTGATATATTTATTAAGAAAATAATAATTAACATAATTATTTATCACACTACTTCTATTAATTAATGTTTATTATTAGATTTTGAAAAATAATTTGAGAAATAAGTACTTAATGCACTGGATAAAACATGAATTATTATTTTTTTGTCTTTTCTTGATATGTTAAAGTGATAAGTAAAAGTAATTTATGTAAAATACATTTCAAAGTTGATTAGGTCAATTATCAGTTGTTCTTTTTTCTTACTTGACTATCTCCATCTACTCAAATAAGTGTGTTTCAATACATAAATAACGATAGTTCATATAGAAAAAAAAAACATATATAATTAAAATATAAAATCACGAAAAAATTAGTAATTCAAATATATTTTTAATCATTAATTACCTTTATGTTAAAAATAAACTTACGATAAAATGCAATAACCTGAATGTTAATAATTGTGATTATTTTGCATAGAGGCTCTCATCATATTGTCTTGTAGACTATACTTTCATACCTGCCTATAAGAATTTACTAGTATAATTTTTCAAATGATGTTCACAAAATTCCAAGTAATAAAACAAAAACTGGTATAAACTTTGAATGAGTAAACGAAACGTATTACTAGTAATAGTAGCATATTCATTACGAGAATGTATCATGTCAAGATCCGTTGCTCAAACCAAATCACGCTAATGTTATGAAAGTTCCTGAACCGTGTAAAATAATAGTAGTACCAAAGACTTTTCAATTTTCTGAAAGGGACATAAAATAACATTTATGAAATTATTGAACTTGAAAAATAACCAATGGTTGTATTTAGGGGTGTTCACGGGTCGGTTTGGATCGGTTAATGGTCAAAACTAAAACCAAACCAACTTAATCGGTTTTAAAATTATCAAAACCAAACCAAACCAAATATAATATACATTTATCGGTTTGGTGGTTATCGGTTTTGGTTTGGTTATTCGGTTATTAACCATACACAAAAATGAAAAGAAACAATTCATTCAAAATGTGAAAAAGTGACAACAATCCATTCAAAACGAAAAATAGTTAGAATGACTTAAATTATTGAACTTTCGATCACTAAATTTACTATCAATAAGTTGTAAAATTCACTATTGGCATAGAGGAAGAGACAATAACATTTTCAGTCGCACAAAGAATTGTCATAGACACTCATATACATGAAATCAATAAAATAAATGTTTTCATCTTGGACATTTTTGCTTTCAATAAGTAAATTATAAAGAAATTTTAATGAAATTATATATAAGATCTTTAAAGTTGTTTATAAAAACAATATATTAAGTATGTATATTAAAAAAATATATGTATATAATTCATCGGTTCGATTTGATTATTTCTTCGGTTTTTTCAAATAAAACCATAACCAAACTAAATACTATCGGTTTTAAAAAATCTAAAACCAAATCAAACCAAACCCAAATAAAATCAATTTTGTTTTATCGATTTGATTCGATTTTTTGATTTGGATCAGTTTTTATCCAAATCGTGAACATCCCTAGGTGTATTGACAAAGTTTGCCACTTGGCTTCTTAAAAAAATGTTATAATTGCACGTTTAGTT